CAGGGCAGCCAAAAGGACAGAGATGCGGGGGAGATAGGTGGGTAAGGGGAGTTGAGGCAGTCCCTTACCTTACTGAGGGCTGTGGCTGGGATGGACTAAGTCCAGAATGGCTTGGATTGGGGTGGGTACTTGCTTAACAACCCGCGATTCTTGGTTAACGACTGCAACCAGGACTGCTGGGATTGTTGTTGGTAAGCAAGGCGGACATGTGATGTCTTGCTTTACGACTGCATCACTTAGGGATGAAAATTCCAGTCCTAATTGTGGTCATAAGTCAAGGAGTACCTGCAATGTCCCTGGAACATGTATGTGTAGTCCAGACATGAATCTAGAACAACATGCATGTTCCAGGCAAAAATGTCCCAAAATGGGTAAAGAGGAGGTGGCAAGTGATAGTGGTTAAATGGAGCTAAGAGAAATGAAAACATGGGAAAATGGGGGAGGGCCAGTTGATTGGTTGACATGTCCCACATGAATTCAAGTGCAGGGGCAACGGCAACATGTGGTGGGGGATAGAAGAAAGGAGTGGAAAGATCAGGGGAGCAGAGACACGTCATGCAGTAGATGAAAAAGACAGGTGAGGCATACCAGCATTGTCTTACTTGCTCCATAGAATTCTCCAAATTTGTCTCAGCCAAAGCCCCAGATAACTAAAATATTCTGGATTTTGGTTCAGCTGGATGATTCTGCCCAGAATTGAGGCTGAACTTAATCTGTGTATTCCATTCACAGAACAAAACCCTTTTTCCATTCCTATTTTATATTCTAGGTTTTCCCATATAGAATTTTTTTAATTTATCTCATGGATTTTATAATGTCATATATTATGAAATATATTGGTTTTAAAAAATATTTATGTTTCATGATCTCTAGTTTTTACTTTTTATATTTTTATTATTGTTTTGGACTTTTGTTAATTGCCACAGACTGGCTTTGCCAGGAGCACATGCTACACAAATGTGATAAAGAAATGAAGTTGAAAGCTTACTAAGCAAAAATGGTTCCATTGTAGCCATTCATGCATGATTCCACTATATTTTTTGCCACACTTGAGAACACTGATTCCTGGGCAGAAAAGATCAGAATTAGTTAGCATTTATACTGAGGAAAATAACTTTACCTCATAAATTCATAAACATAATGCACACAGAACTTTATTTGTTGAACAGTATACATCTGTATATCTATCTATCTATCTATCTATCTATCTATCTATCTATCTATCTATCTATCTATCTATCTATCTATCTATCTATCTATCTAGCCAATGTGGTATGGCTGGACTATGAGCAGGGAGACCCAGGTTCTAGTCCCTTCTTAGGCATGGAAACCAACCAGTGGATTTCAGGCCAGACACTGTCTCTCACAGCCATAGGAGAGGACGTCAACAAGTTTTATCTACACACCCACACTGGACCAGTATGATAGATTTTAGTCCATAACCTCCAGTTATGGAGGCCTTCATCCTGCAGTGGAGTGATTCAAGCTGCTGCTGCTGCTATGTATTATGACATTAAGATTTTTTCCCATTCAATATGAGCAATTCTGCTGACAGTACAGAATTATTATTATACTCAAAATAGTGAAATCAATGAGACTTGCATTCAATTAATAGCTTGCAAGAAATAGGTTAGCGTCATTATGAGATGAATGTAATGAATATAACTAACACAAAAACATAATTTGTTAAATGTGACATAAATTTTAATATTATAGACTAGTTCAATCAACTTGTTTTTCAACCTTTAGATGACATTTCTGCTTCTTTGCTTTAATCTTTTTCCTGTCCTTCCTTTGTCTTTCATTTTTTAAGACTGGTTGGTTTTAGCTGGTTCATCTAATGCTGCTTTCTTTTTCACCTTTGTCTTGCTATTTGTTTATAACTGGAAAAAATTATAACCATTTGTTTTTCTTTTTCAAGCAAGCAGAATATTGGAAAGAAATCAGCTCAAGACTCCATCAGCAGAATAACTTTCTAAAACCAGAACAGAATGGAACTAAATTTGGTGTGCCAGTAAAGCAAAATAAAAAATAAAAAAAGGGGCCAGATGCACCCAGGGCCCAAGGACAAAAAAAATTCCAGTGCATCCCTTTGGGAGAGGCATTTGTGCAGGGGTTCTGAATGCTGTAACTCTTCCATTCTAAGTTCTTCTCTTTCCTGGCCAAGTGACCCAGAGCAGATTGTATGTAGCTCACCCTCTGTTTCCCAGCACATATAATCACACATGTAACATGAGGGGAGGTCAGAGATTCACACATACAGTGACAGAACATAGCAACACCCACCCTGATTATACCTTCATACAGAAGCAGAGTAAACACATATGTTCCTTGCTCACTACAACAGGAAAAGATGGTTTCAAAATTTTAAAATCTGAAGAGGCGTTTCAGATTCACTCTGCAATTATGAATGGGGGCTTAGAATGCACTGCTTTAGAAAATTATACCAAACTTTTGCAAATCAGTGCTATATACAATCAATTCCAATAAGGGAAGGAGGAAGGGAGAAAACATTATATAGACCAGCTTGAGTTATAAAAAATAAAGATGAAATATAAATCAAATAAACAAGCTAACTAGGAATAAGACTATTAAATCAAAGCTTTGGTTTGACTTAACTGTTGAATATCACAAAAGGTAATGGTAATATATTTTATTCTTTCTAAAGAAAATCCTGGCTCAGTTTCTACTCAGGAATTAATTAATTATATAGGCAAATTGAGGGGAAAAAACCAGAAATGCTTGGCAACAAATGATATCAGCAGCCTGCTTAAATAATTCAACTCTATTTTGGTCACTCATTACTCCTTCATTGGGCAAGAATCCTTCTGGCATAATCTTCCATATTTATATATGTGAATTCTGGTAAATTACCTGAGTTGTATTAGCATCTGCCACATTATCAAATATGAATATCTTAGGCTCAGGCTTTGAGTGCAAACGGATACTGTTTGATGAAAGAACAGATAAACACAAGCCATTATCTCTATCAGCAACTGTAGTTCCTTCTGAAGGAGGACGCACTCTTATGTAAACCTTGATAGCATCACCATCAGCACTAAAGAAAGAAACATTTACATGAGTATATTAATTAATCAATCACATGTTAGTAAAAATTTACCAAGTTATTTTGACCTATTGGTATACAGCTACAACTAAACAAGTACAAACACACTGTTATAAACACATACTAAAATGATATGTTTATATCCTATACTTTGAGACTGTTATAATTAAGCATTACCGTAGTGGGAAAGAGTGATCTAACTTTCCTGGAAACTGATAGACAGAATTCCTACATCTTATAGTCCTAACTGGCTTGTCAGTCTCTGATCTGGTAACAAAGTCAGTAGCATTTATATATAAGAAGAAATTCTTACCTAGTGGGTGATGTCACCATGTCCTGTGACTCACCTAAAAACAAAAGTGATAAAACATAATAATACATAAAAGCAAGCAAGAAAAAAGGCTACCATCTAAAAGAATTATTGCCAGTTGTTAATGCTGATGACAGGTGCTGTTGGCCTAACAAAATTTGATATCCAGATTCTGGAAAACCTGGAAGGCAAGCCTATCATATATGCTACCATGTCTTTGATTGACTAACCTTCATTTGGGGTGGCAACCCTTATTCACTTTCTGCAAACAGATATGCACATAAATGTGCTGCTATATGATTATTAAAAAGATGCAACTTACATGTTAGTTTTTAGCAGAAAAAACAGTCTACAACATTAATAAGTAGTTGATTCATTATGGTATAGGGTTTGTGGACAATTACCCATTTTGCTGTGCAAGAACTGATGTCAAAAGGAAAAACTGAAGGAAGAACATGAAAATTAGTTTATAAATAATAAATAATCTTCATGTAGGAAAATAAACTATGGAAGATTTTATTTAAACAAAATTAAAGCAGCTGTATCCCACTGAGCTGAATCAGATTTACTTCCTATAAAGTATGCTTAGAATTTCTGCTGCATTTTTATTCAAAAGATATGATATATTGCAAGCCTAGACATCAACTTACATTTTAATTGTATCAGCATCCATAATGGAATAACTACTTATGAGCAAAAGGTAAGCATTTGTGCTTCTAGTATAAACGCCAAAATATAGCCCATGGGATTGAAAGTTTGGGGAGGGGGGGTAGGTTGAGGGACTAATCATACTTAATTACCAAGATTTATTTCCCTCCTAGGGCATTATGACCTTGATGTGGCAGGAGAATGTGAAAACTATATTTCTATAGTTTTGCTTATTGCTTTTATTTTGTTTTTAATTGTTAGCTCCCCCAGAGACATGTATTTGAGATAGGCCGCCATAGAAATGTAATAAACAAACAAATAAAGCACAAATACCATGGGAGCAACACCAACAGATATGCAAGCATTTAGTAGAATCACCTTTGCCACTAAGTTTGAAAGGAGAGGGTAAGAGTAAACCACAATACAACAGGAGCAAGAATAGGTGGGGCTCTGTAGGTGTCAGAGACATTATTCCACTAGAAGGAAAGTCCAAAATAAAACTGAAAAAAAAAATGGCAAACCACTTCTGTACTGTTGCCAAAAAAACTGACATAGCTCTAACATTTAGAAAACTTTGAGTGCCAGATGATGAGACCTCCAAGTAAGAAGGCATTTCTCTAATTACTGGGGAAGAGTATAAATGCTGCAAGGAAGTCTGAATATTGATAGTACCAAAATTGATAGAGAAGTTCCTACTTTTACAAGGACACAAAGAATCAGAAAACACAGAGTGAAGGAAGCAAGAACAAAGGGGAACCTGAAATTATCAAGGTAGAAATTACTACAGGTAGACCTCGGTTAGCGACTGCCTTGTTTAGCAAATGTTTACAGTTACAACAATGATGAAAAATAACTTTACAATCAATCCTCACATTTATGACATTCGCAAGTCTGTAAAGCAAAGGAAAGCTGAAGTAAGATCATAAGCACAGTTGGATTTCACTTAGCGACCACTTTGCTTAACAACCGAGTTGCCAGTCCCAATTGTGGTCACTAAATGAGAATTACCTGTACAACAAATGTGTGCTACGTATGTGAGTATAACCCAGTAAATGGCAGGATCATATTTCTTACTATTAGCATATTCTGTATCTAGTAAACATTAACATTGTTCAACATTATACAATGTCATCCCATTTTTACAGAGGAACCAGAATCTCAGGAAGTCTTGAACTGGGTATATACAATTCAGGAAATAGGACGGAGATCACTGGATGGACAACACTGGAATCTGCTATGCAGTAGAAAGTAGAATAGGGAGGTATACAGATCCAATTAGATAGGACATTCCAGGTGCACACTGTGGAACAGACCATGAATTATTTATGTCAAATATAACAAGTTAAATTTAGAAAACTAAAAATAGCAAAGTGGGGCAGCAAGTAATGACATGAAAGACATACAATCATAATATAAGATCAATCTAAGGAACAGATTTACTAAACTTATGTGAAAGAGAAAATGAAGAACTATGGGGAGAGATAAGAGACTTTGTGAAATCCAAAATGGGAAAAAATATTCCCAAAATTTCATCAAGGAAAATTCAAGTGGCTTTTAGCACAAATTATCATTATGGAAGAAGAAAGCTTTGGGTACCAGGAATGTACAACCAATGAACACAAACTTTCATCATCAAGCAATAAAGGACAAGGAAAGATTCAATCAAGAATGTCAACTAACAGAGTACAGTAACAAAAAAAAAAAGAGGGGGTTAAAGATCTTTTTAAGATCATAGAAATCACAGAAAAATGTATAACTAAATTAGAAATACTCAGGAATAATCATGGAAGAAAACTAACAGAGGCAAATGAGATTAAAGGAACATGAAAAAACTGTAACAAAAGCCTTTACAAACAGGGTTAATAACAGAAATGTTTATAGAAAGTGAATAGACTCAGAAATCAACTCCAATAGAATATTTATCTATTTATTTAGAAACTTATATGACCACCTATCTTATACATGCTGATCCTAATATGTAATAAAAACAGAATAAATAAAACCAACTGAACCCCACACCACCACCATATATCCCAACCACAGAACCATAACATCCCATGAACTCTACATTTAGACTTGTATTTGCTGGCTCACTTCTATCCTAGCCCAATGCCTGGGCAGAGCCCGGTCTTCACAGTTCTCTGGAAGGCTAATAGGATGGAGGCCCTCCAAATCTCAGGGAGAGGCTGTTCCAAAGCATCATAGCAGCCATGGAAAAGGCATGTCTCCAAGGTCCCACCAAATGGCAACATTTAAGGAAGGGACCTGGAGTGCACCCACCCTATCTAACCTGGTGATGGGCCAATACCCTCAGGGAGAGGTGGTCCTGCAAATAACTTGGCCCCATGTCATTTAGGGTTTTAAAAGTGCTAATCGGCACCTTGAATTGCACTTGGAAAGCAACTGGAAGCCAGTGCAGCTTACACATCAGCAGTGTAACACAGACAAAATATGAAGCACCGAGACCTGCACACTTTGCTGCATGCTGGACCAGTTGTAACTTCCAGGAGGCCTTCATGAGGTACAAGAGGTAACAAACCAACCATTAAATATGAAACCAGTAAGTGCAGATGAAATGCCCATTGAACTATTTAGTGAACAAAGATAGGAGTAGATTGTATAGCCTACAGATTTGCAAAGATATATACTTGGACCAAAAAAAAGGGAGTTGCAGGAAAATTGCAAATTATTTAATAATTGCATGCATTCCTCATAAAAGCAAAGTGTGGCATACAGGGAAAGATAACTGTCAAATGAACAGGTAGGTTTCAGAAAAAACAGAGACAAAAGAGGAGATGCTAATGTAAGAAGGATAATGAAAAGAGAAAGAATCTAAAAAAGTGATTTTTACAGTATCCTCGTTAATTATAGCAAGGTCTTTGACTATTTGTATCATGTCAGGATGTTGAATATATTAACAGTAATGATTGTATGAGAACATCTGATTATAAAGATTCTTCAGAAGAATAATGAACAAGAAGCTATGTTTGGAGAAACTCAGAAAATACAAGAGAGATTAGGGAGGAGGGGAATGACAAACACAAAAAGATAATGAAGTAGAAGGTTACATCTGTGATACCAAGTTCAGAAGAATAAAAGGAATGCTCTTTCACTGTGAAAGCTGGACACTTGGAAAATGCAAGAAAAAGATATGCTATCGAATTATCGATCTGGAGAATGTTATTAACAGAATGGTCTGCAAAAAGTACCAACTATTCAATCCTGGATCAAATAAAGGCTGAATGCTTCTTCACAACAATGATTGGCAAACAGAAATTCACATACTATTGCCATGTTAACACAACTAAAGAATGATTATGATGTTTGGTAGAGATGTGCAAAATCTACTGTTCCTCTTTCAGACCACACTAATTCTGGATGTTTCAGGAATAATCTGGTAGTTTTTCAGAAGTTAATCCTCCAAACTGGATGCAGTTCATTGTGGTCTGGACATGGCATTCCAGCCAAAACACTTATTTTATCATTGGACCACCGCAAACCACTTCTAGTTTGAAGGATTAACTTCCAAAAAATGACTGGGCTGCCTAACCACTTATATAACTGATCAGTGTTACAGTGTTTTCCATCTTCTTCTGACATAAGCCTTTATTACATGCATAATTTGTGGTGCTTTGGTAGTGACTGTGTTATCATGTGGCAGAGGCTGGCATCTGCCTAGTTCCTAATGGCTGTATTCAGTTGCTATAAGCATAACCTCTCCCGCCTGGTCACTGGTGACTTCTCTCCATGATAATTTTTGCTTGTGCAGCAGGAATGATCAGGCATCTGCCCCACTAGCGCTCACAAAGCTCTGATCAGATATTATGCAGGCACCTTGTTTTCATGCAGTGTTACATAAAACTGCAAGATAAGTGTAAAAAAAGATACCAAAAAACAAAACCCAAATCACAGGGAACTTGTATGGTGGAGCAAAACCTGTTGAAGTGAATTCACCATGCCATCCACTTGCAAAAGCCTATGGACAGCTGCTTTTATATAGAGCAAAAGAGACACTGAGAGATCAAGGGACAGAATGCAAGAGAAAGACCAAGCAAGAAAGCAACAGAGTTATCAAGGGTTGAGAGACAGAGCAAGACAGTGAAAAACACCAAGTGAGCAGGAGACAGCAGCATGAAAGCAAAAGAGAATGACAAATGAGGGAGAGAGAGAGCAAGATGAGCGACTGATAGAGCAAAACCGAGAAAGACCAAGGGAGTGGGAGACCAATGAGCACAAGACAGATGAGCGTGTAACAGTGTGTGAGAAAGACAATCAGCAGCTCAACCACAGAATGGATGAAGGCCTTCAGGTAAGCATGTCCTGCTTTATCAGGAAGCCCCCCTTCACCTTGTGGGGGAACTGAAAGCCCTCACATATCCCATGGATCAGATTCTGACATGGTTAAACCCATAGGTCTAGCCATCTGTCAAAACTGGCCTCATCTCCTAGCACTCATTAGGGTGAGTGGTGGATATCTATACAGTAGCACTGCTCTCTGGCCTTCTTACCAAGAGACTGGCTGTCAAGTCAGAACAAATTATGCTGGCATATGCTTGTGCTGCCTCAGACACTGAAGGAAAGTGTATTAAACTGGCTGAATACATGCTTGGCTTCATGAATCCAGCTTCTCACTGACGCCCTAAGTCTAATCAGAGGAACCACTGAGTCTTTCTGAAGCAAATCAGACTTTCCACTCTGTCAAATTAGGGATTAAACCAAATCTTGCAATCAATGTGCACTTCTAAAATCATGTCGCTCTAAGTAAGTAGCACTGCCTTCTATGACTTTGTTTAGGCCTGCTTAACTGATATAAGGAGAAGAAAAAGAAGAGCAGAATTTGGACCGAACTGAGTCAGGTTTTTTAGGTTACACCTTCCTAGACATTAAAAAAATATGACGTACCAGCGCAGTCACAACACCAAATATTAGAGTTCCGGTTAATGAAAAACACGGTCAGCTAAGAAGCCAAAGCGAAATGGCTGTTCTGCGGCTGTGTTTCACAACAAGGTTTACGGCACAGCCTGATGTTCTTCAATTTTGACTCTCTAGAGACGGCGGTACCCTGCAAGGGTTGCAGGGTTGTGGCCCTCGGGCTAATGAACTAATCCTCACAGGGCTCTCCTGACCATTTTAATTTGAGGCTCCTGATACCGAAGCTTTTTGTCAGTCAAGAGCTGCTTCCGAGACGAAAGTCAGGGGTAGAGGGACTAAGCTAGGTAGCATGAGGGGGCCCAAGAGCTCAGCAACAGCGGGGTGCCGTCTTCCTCCTACAGCCCGTTTCAGCCTCCCACCCGCCATTCTCTCAAGACCACTTACTCCTGGTCCCGGGCGCCATCCTCTTCCTTTTTCCACCCCTTCAGTTCCGTCCCCATTTGGGACTGAAGCTCCCTCGGCTCAAAATGGCGGCCCTTTGAATTTGGCGCTCAGGAAGCCGCTGCTGCTGCGCTGAAGCCAAGGTGGAAGCGGCCATTGGCAAACAGGGAAAGGAAGCCGCTGAAGCCAGCTCTCCCACGTGACACGGGCGGGAGCAAAATGGACGGGTGACAGAAGGCGCCGTCTCTTGACCCTCGCTGCGACCATGAGCAAAAAGAATCAGGTTTCGTATGTGAAGCCGGCCGAGCCCGCTTTCCTGAGTCGCTTCAAAGAGCGAATCGGCTATCGGGAGGGGCCCACGGTGGACACCAAGGTAACAGTGTCAGACTTCCGCCCTTCTGTTCCTAATCCCTTTGTTCCGCCCTTTTGCTTAAACGCCCTCCCCGTTCCTTCCTCAAGTGCGAGGTGGAAAGTGTAGTGGCCCCCTGGCAAGGGTGCTGCGAGGGGCCCCCGGCAGGCCTCTGCTGGCTGAGTTTCCTAGGAGTGATACTCGTCCCTTCCACTGCAGAGGAAAATGCCCCATTGGGGAGAGAGGGAAAGAACAAGAATAGGGTAGGGCTGCAAAACTCCGGACGACCACTAGGTGACACCAGAGAGTGAGAGCGTTACTGTTATGGATATTCTTGCTGCCACCTGGTGGGCGTTCGCAGGTTTGCAGCATAGATAAGGTAGCCCTAGGGAAGGGCAGGATCCTTGTTAGGGCCGACAAAAAGCCCACGTGAACAGTATTTTCCGTGTACCCGTTTTGCAGAGTGCCAAACAGCGCATTTCCGCATGGGAAGAAAGGAGAAACGGAAATTAATAAATAAACAGATTCGCATGAGTTGCATGACTTTTATTACAGGATTTCTCACCATTTCTGCTGTTCTCCCCTGCTGCTGCTTTTGACTGTGTGGATCGCTGTGTGGATAGCGTATCTACTGCCACAGCTTTAGTATGAGATGGGTTTCACCCAACTCACCATGCCTCGTTTATACATGTGTGTCCCAAAGGAGTAAGCTTGGGGTGCATGCTGTACCACTGCTTGTAGTGACAGCCTGTGGAAACCGCATCTGTCTCATCTGTATACTTTTAACCCTTTCCTCTGTCACTTTTGCGGTCGGATGTGTGTGTGTGTAAAAGTCTGCACTTGGGCTTTGAATAGTGTCTTGGGAGCCACACTCCAAAAAGTAGTAGGCGAGCCAGGAAAGAATTATATTTATTTTCACTTCCTTTACATTTAAATGTAAATAAAATTAAATATAGTTAATAAAACTATCTTTGGTCACATATTTAATACTTTCTTCCATTGAATCATATTCAAAATTGCAATTTTGTAATAACTTTTGGCGTTTTCCAAGGACCACACCGAAGGCTTTTCAAGATTCATTGGGATCGCAGATTATGAATCTTTGATCGAGTGGGTGCTTTGCATAAAGCCAAATAAAGCGGTAGCTTATTTGGGAGCGAAGACCACATTTAGCTTTTGAATATTGTGTTGAGGCAGGCTTTAAGAAATATCGGTGAAGGCAAGGAAAAATAATTTTATTTTTATTTATATTTCAGTAACATTAAATACATTTCTTTATTTTTGTCATATTAAAAATTATAAATTGGTAACAACTTTTTAAACATATCTGAAGGGGCACACCTAAAGTTTCCAGAGGCCTCAGGCAACTCCTTGCACCTATAGAATATGATATTGTAAGAGAACTCTCAAGGCAAGGGAGTAATGACAAACAAAGAGCAGATTAATGTTTCAAGTCTTATCTGGTAAAAGTGTTGCTAGTCCTTCAGTCTGGGAGAAAGAAGCTCAAGCAATTCACAGAGGCCTCACTTTAATGAATTTGCTGATAAATGAAGGCTGGAATTTTGCTTGTTCAATTTCCAAGATTCACTATCTTCAAAGATTCCCCTTTTTCTAGTATGAAACCTGATTAATAAAACTCCATGTGAATCTTGCTCCCGTGGTTATGCATTATTGTTTAGAGGCTTGATAGATATGCTAATTTAGAATAGGAAGGATTGGATTAGTTAAATAGCAGTGATTTCTTTAAAAATAACACTTCATAAAAAACCATAAGTTGTACAGACCATACAGCATAAAAAAGTTCTACAAGATGACATATTTGAAACTACTTTGCAGTTTCTGCTGCTATCCTAATCATATTTGCTTGGAAATAAATTGCTTTGATATTAGCTAGACTTTCTATTGGAAATACTAGTTAAAGTTTCTGTGGGTTGTAAGAATGTAATAGAAAAGTTTAAAAACGCTTATTTAGAAATAAGCCCAATAGAACTGGGAAGATTCACTTCTGAGTAAACATGTAGGCTTATTCCATTCCATTATTATGTTTAATCATAACACTAGCACTGTTGATCACTCTTCCATTTTGCAGCAATCAAATAAAGCTGGAGAAACTGATTTATTCAGTAAAATCCCAGTAGAGGTGAGCTGCAGCTGCAAGTCTAACACTGGAGCCTTGCAATCTAAAAGTATGATTGTCTTGCTTTAGCAGGGTGCTGATCTTTTATTGGTCACAATACATGATCTCAAAAAAGTACTTGTTAGAGCCAGGCTGAATGATGGAGGAGTCCAATGTTACAGTTCTTATTTTAATGTGCATGCTGGCTGGAAATTTTGGAAGTTATTTCAATTTATCTAGCATGTACCATTTTGGAGAAGGTTGATATTGATGTCTGAGTGCTTCCTTACTAATAGTTGTTGGTACAAGATTACCAGACTGTGATGAATATAGTTTCCTGACCACCAGAAATACTTATACATTCCCAATAAACATTCTCTTGTGCAAGCTACAAGTTTAGGATTGAGTTTCCACAAGGAGTCATGGCTTTTTGCAACATAGACATAAAGAAATACCCCAGCCCCATCCTTTATATTGGGATAGAACATTTATGGTAATATGATTTTCTGCTGGCTTTGGGATGGGAGGAAGCATGGCAAAGCATCTATGTGGATATGACTGAAGTAGACCCGGAAGCGAAAAAATAAAGGAAAAAACTGCGAACCAAACCTGGGAAAAGATACAGCCTTTGATTAAAGTTTGGATTTGCCAGTAATCTGTAGAATACCCAGGTAATAGAAACAGAGGGAACATCCAATTTAAGAGAATTCTAATTCTGAAGACATAGATGACAAGTCTAGACAGGAATCTGTGCTAAGAATGTCTTTTTTCTATGCTGTGGAAGTCACTTGTTTTTTCCCCCTTATTTCTCTGTAATGCTCATTAATTGTGTGTATTTTGATATTTTATGTATATCCTTAGGTTGTGTGTAAGGAAACAACTTAAGGATCTTTTCTCATCTGTATTAATTCATATGAAGTTTTTTCCAATATCTTTCTATAGATTTGGGTAGAATGCTCATTTACAGCAAACCAGCAGCATCTTGTGGTCTGCTGGAAACATTAATTTCCTTTTGTAAATTTTCTTAATTAAACTGTTTTTCCCTTGCTCTGAATAACTCTGTAATTGACCTCCTTCACTATTGAACATTGGTATTTTGGATATTTAAAGTTAAAATGGTTTTTAGTTTATCACTTTTAAAATAAAGTTTGTTTTTATTTATCTGTGATGAAATTGATCTATCTTCTAAGAGGAAAAGGAAAAAATGAAAACTGAAACCTCTAGTCACACACCTTTAAGGTACATGGCTGCAAATTCAGGTTTTGTACTTTTTTCCTTTTAATCTCCAGAAATGCAGCACATGTTGTGACAACTTTTATCTTTTTAAAAGGTGAATGCCAGTGAGGTGCCCCCTGGAAGATAGGTGATGACAGCAAGAATTTCTAAGGGCTACTCCAAAGTAGGAGACAGGGTCACAGTATGAAGACTTCTGGAGGAGGAGGTTAAATCCACCTTGTTAGCTCAACCATTCCCTGTATTCCTTGTGTATATTTTATACTTGGTCATTAAAGTATTTGCATTTCTATTTGTATTGTATTTAAAGTTTCTTTTTTCAAGGGTGACCATCTGTTTAGATTGGTATTATATCTTTTCCAGAGAGAGCAGCTTCCAGTTCCTGAAGAGGACAGTGGAAGTGACAAGGAAGATGAACAACCACAGGTGATTGTACTGAAAAAAGGGGATCTATCTGCAGAAGAAGTTATGAAGATCAAAAAGGAGATCAAAGAGGTTTCCAAGGTCACAGGTATGTTGTGGAATCACTAATTCCTAATTCATTGTTACACCATTTGTCCTCCAGGGAAAGGAGGCAGAGTGCAGAGTTGCTGCTGCAGCAGCCAATCCACTGGTTTGCTTTTTCACTCCAAACAGTTCCTTGGCGTTTTATTTTCTTAGCCTTTTTCTATCCTGTAGCTATCCACTAGGCAAGCTTTTTGTTCTTGTTTCCAAAAATTATAATTAAAAAAAAGAAGTGCTATCTGCTGCAAATTTGCTGAGCTATCCAGCCTTAGCAGCAGAAGCAATATTTACTTGATCAACTATAGAATGATCAGCAAATTAGTCCCTTGGCCATGGTTAACATTAAGCAGAGTGTGAATGCCTCTTTGTAGGGCAAACTTATTTGTTAGCATCCTTTTATACAATGTTCATCAGTCTCCTTATTTATTTCCTCAGGTTATATGCCTGTGCAATTCAGAATGACTCTGGGTGGCTTACAACACATTTAAATACCAAGATAAAACCATTATCTCGAAACAAATAGCAACCAGGGATTAACATTCTTCCCCATAAAAGATCTCTTAAAAATATATCTCAGAGTCAACAGGGTTAGAATGGTCCAGATTTCAGGGAGTAAGCTGTTGCGTAGGGCAGATGCTTCTTATCCCCCCTTACCTACCACTCACTTCAATGATCTTTACTTACAGCCATCTGAAGTGCCTGTTCTTTCAGCTGTCACTGTACAGGTAGAACACAATTGGGACCGGAAATTCTCTCACTAAGTGGTGCGGTCATAAAGCGTGACATCACGTGGCCGCATCACTTAGAAACGGCAATCCTGGCACTCCCTGTTGCCATTGTTTACCAAATTCCACTGGTTAACCCATCCCAATCCAAGCCATTCCAGGCTTGGTCCCTCCCAGCCCTGAGCCTTGGTTCTTCCAAGGTAAGGGAATGCATTCCCTTCAACTCCCCCAACTGCCCTTTTGGCTGCCCTGCACCCTGTCTTGTGGGGTGGCAAGAATCCCCAGAACTGCACGGCTCTGAGGCTGCTTGTGATGGAATATATCTATGAAGAGGTGGGTGAAGTGAGAGACCAAGGCTATCAGGAAGGAGGGGGTGGATTCCAGGAAGGGAAAGGAGACAAAAGACATCACAGCACACAGGAGGAATGTGGGAAGCGTAAGAGGTTCAGGATAGCCACTCCCTCGGCCTGACACTGTCTGCCATGCTGTGGCTCTTGCGCTGCTTGGTGGGCCACGGCTCTGGGGCTGCAAGAAGCCTGAGCTGCAGCACAGCGCAAAGCCCTTCATAGCACAAAGGCCAGCCCCAGCCTGGCCCAGCAGCACAGCACAAAGCTGTAGCCATCCCAGGAAGCCACAGCCCCCGCAGCCCAGTCCCAGCTGCATCACCCTCTCCACCCTGCATTCCAAGGCCCCTGCTGCCCTGCATTCTGCGGCCTCAGCTGAACTTTGCTGTCTTCTTGCTCCCTTTGTTGATGGGATGTGCCCAGCCTTGCCCTTTGCGAGGCAGTGCTGGCCACGTGAGGCCATCTTTCCCATGTCTTGCAAGGAAACAAGTCCCCGTTGTGGGGAGATGGGCGGGGACAAGTCAAATAAATAATAAAATAATAATAATAATAAACTGCTGTGTGCAACCTGGGGAAGAAAGCCTTTTGTGGCCAGCAGCTGCCTTGCGAAGGGCCAAGCTGGGCATGCTTGATCAGCAGCAGGAGCAAAAAGACAGCAAAGGTCAGCTAGGGTGGCAGGGGCCACAGAGTGCAGGGGGCCAAAAGCGTATAGATGGGGGGAGTTGAAGCACTCCTGCGATCATAAGTGTAGGCGACTGTCATGTGCCCGAATTTTGATCACATAACTGTGGCGCCCTGCAATGGCTGTAACTCTGGGGACTGGTCATAAGTCCGTTTGTTCAGTGCTGCCGTAACTTTGAACAGTCGCTGAACGAATGGTCATAAGTCGAGGACTACTTGTACTCCTTTATTTCTTGTATCAAGCATGCCTTTCTTTTGTTTTCTCTCTCTCCACTTCACTTAGCAGATAATGAGATAAGAAGAGTAGGCTGAAGTGAGGTGGAGGTTAACAGCAATAGCTGTTGGGAGGACAGATAGCTAGGCCAGTCTTCTTGATCTGAATAAGACAGTTCCTCATATTGTTATATCTTCTTCACATGCAGTGTTATATGTGTCATATTTAAGAACTGAACACACACATTAAGTTCATATAGTTACGTCATCTTTTTAATCACACTTCTTGGTGGAAAATTGGAATAGATCTTCTCTTATGGAGATGTGTTTAGCTGTTAACTAACTCATATGATTATTTTCCTTTAACATTAGTTTGCTTTGAGAGTAAAACTAATTTCTAAAAATAAAACCACTTCAGTAAGTTTATGCAGTGTTTTGTTTTTTACAAGGCTTCCACATGAATCCTGAAGAGAATTACTATCTTGTCAAAAACACTTTTTTACAAAATAACTTTTCATATAAAAAGTAAATTGGGGTATAAAGCCTTTTTCATCTATTCATTATGTCTAAAATTGATTTCTTTTTTCCTGCAACTTTTCTAATACTTCTTCCTCTGGGACATTGTAGTGCATGCGTAAGTTGAAAAACTTGGCAGCAAGGTTCCTTACTCATTCAAACTGTAATCTTATTTTAGTCTTGTTCACTTTGCTTGCTTGTTTTTTTTCTCCCCTTTTTTGTCTTAAAAAAACAAATGCTGCACATTATTTGTTAGGGCATTAAAGTATACTTTCTTTATTCCAAAGTGCTGCTTTAGCACTTTAAGTGTTGATATTTACCTGATTGGCAGCCTTATTGAATTGCTGTTATGTTTGTAACCTTGTATACAAATTGATTTTTAACACTGGGGAAAATAGATTGGCTTTCAGTGCTCTTTATTTCAACACTGTTTTTTTTCAGACAGACATCATTAGGTAGGTGAAGGTAGTACTGTACTGTAGTCTGAAAATCATGAGATACAATTCTAGTGGCAACATTGGTGCACAAACCTTCTTAATGAATCGTTTATATAGACCTGAATGTACAGACGATGTAAAAGAAAGTCAAATAATGCTTTTAACAGGCTTGCAGTTAAAGTTACTCAGTGATTGGTTTCACAAACTATGTTAAGCTCTCCTATGGTTCATTTGGGCTTAGTATATGTGAGAATAAAGTATGCAGGAGATTAAATATAATGCTCAACAAACAGTTCAACACTGAGTAGGATTAAGACAAGGATGTGTTATGTCCACTTGGTTGTTTAATATATTTATACATAAATGTATAAGGAATGTTGTAGTGATGTTAGAAGTGTGTTGGTTTGGGATATGAAGGTACATGTAGTTTTGCATGCAAGCAATACCATATTGTTGGCTGAGACCCCAATGTTTTGTAACTAATATTAGATTGTATAAAGCAACAGATCAGAAAATTAATGTATTGAACAGTATGTTAGTTGTGCCTGACAGGGAAAATGGAGTGAGTGAATGATTGGAGGTTCTACATAAATTGTGAAAAATTAGAGACACTAGATAAAGTTGTGGACCTTGATAAAATGTTTACTAAAGATAAAGAAATTGATGGAAAAAATTAACATGTGAAAATGCTGGTAGAAAAGTAGTGGGTAGAATATGGTATGTTGTGAGGAATAAATATTTGTCCAAAAAAAGTAAAAATGGCTTCTTCAGCCTACTTTGTTATATGGAAATGAGAATTGATTATGTCAAGAGAAACAAATATAAATTGAATGCAGTGGGAATCAGTTACTTAAGAGAATATGTGTAATAAAGCAAGAAGAGAAAGAGTCAGTAATGAATAAGTGCTGAATGTGAATTGAATAAGTAAGGGAGTGCCCAGTACAAAACATATGTTGGAGACAGTTTATTCATATAGGGAGAATAAATGTGATTTGAAACAAAAACCAATATATGAATGAAAAACAGATGGGTTGAGAAGAAGGGGAAGAATGAAAAAGTTGTGGGTTAGTTCATGGAGTTGATGAATTCCCCAAAAGAGAGAGGTGAGATGTTTAAAGATAAGGATATGTGAGTTGGTGGATGTGAGGGAAGCAAGGATGGTTTGCAAAGATATAAAGGTACAGTATAGAGAAGTCTAGTGAATGGTGTTGTATAAATTAAGTTTAGCTAAATGATTTTGCCTTGATGAGCCTCGGTTCTTGCCTGGGAGTAGTGTAGGGTTGTTGTTTTTTTTCTTCCTTGTTAAAGAAATATTGAAAGACCACCATACAACTCAGAAGGAAGGAAACCTGGGCTCGGTGTATGTTCAGTAGCAATTTTCCCAAACTTGGCGCCCTCAAAATATGTTGGAATACAACTCCTATCTTCTCCATACAGCAGGATGACAGTACTTGTTAAAAGGATTGTCCCGTTAGCTATTTTTAAAGAATTAGCTTGCCTGTTCCTGCCAAATATATTCTTCCTGAACTATCATAGCTTTGTTCTTTTCTAAATGTTATTGTGCTAATGTTATTATATTCATTGCATTTTGAAATTAACTTCTGCTTATTATCTGAGGGTGGGGGTGACTTATAGTCTTTAGGTGACCTTTTACAACAATTTGCTTTTCAAAATCCTAAGATAGAGTTTTCCCAAGCTTCTGGCACAGTATTTGTTTCTTCTGTAAATTTCTTTTTGAATTCTTCTAGGATAGGTAGCTCATCAGTTTTTGGAGGTCATTGGCCCAGATAGAGTATGCAGTAGAAATTCATCACTCTTCCTATATCTGAGGATGAGCTCTGCATATTTGGCTGTTAATTAAAAAAATGGTATCTCTTCCTGCAGGCCCCCACAAATCAGCGTTTCTTTACTTCAACATGTTAACTAAATTGATTTAGGATCTCATTCTCTTTTTTACTCTTCATAAAGAGCATGCGTAAGACTTTACCTGTAGTCATTTTTTTTTCTGATCCCCTTCTTTATTCACCCCTTTTGCCATTATGGGAACAGTCAAGAATTCCCAGAAACGTTTGTTTATGATTGAAAAATTTGGGTGGCCCTGAGCCAGCATACCCTTTATTTGTGTCTGCTGGAAATTAACATTCAGGGTGTGATTTTCTAGAAGATTTTCCTTAAAAAATAATTTTAGCAGCTTCTAGATTAGACTCTTTCAGTGCTGGATTTAGAAACATGGAATCCAGGTAAAACGAAATGCTGTCATCCTAAAACGGTGCATGATGTTAAATCTCATTCTTTGGAACCAGGGGCTCTCCTTCCATGATGTGAGCTTTTATGAATTGCTTTTCTCTTTAACAGCTGGATCCCCTAGCAGCCCTTTCAGCAGTACTTCTTAGCATAATGTTTCTTAACCTTGGCAACTTTAAAATGTGTGGATTTCAACTCCCAGAATTCTGGGAGTTGAAATCTACACATCTTAAAATTGCCAAGATTAAGAAATACTGTCTTAGCATATTAGGAGTGTTCTAAGCTGTTGGCTTGTTTAAATCTAAATTTGAACTCCTTGGAATGGAGTGTGTTAGACTTGGTCCTAAAATTGTTTTCGAATGGCATAATTATTATGAGTGGGATACACTTGACATGCTCGATCTTGTTCAAATTTAGTCTGTCAGTGCAGAGACTATCATAACATTTTCAATGAAAAAGGCACCCTAATCTATCAAAGATGTAGTTTATTATTAATTTCCTGATAATTGTGGTATAAGGATACAATGTAAGTTATTAAATAAGGTGAAATCCATTGCACTGAGGGGTTTGGAGTAAGTTTTTATTACAAAATTGATATTTAAAATATTCTGTTACTTAAGAAAAATAGGTTACCCAGTAAAAGTAATGATTGTTGGTAATGTTTCATAATCTATAAATCATCTAATTACAGGCAGTTTCAACATAAGACTTGGCTTGTGAATTATAGCTGTAGCTTTCCTATATAACAACAACAACAAAAAAGTATTGAGGTACTTTAATCTAGCAGCTCATTTTTGCTCTCCTGTACTTTCACCTCCATGAAGTGATCCCAAAAAATGAGTAGCATATATTAGAATTCAGATCTTGGATTCTGATTTTGTATGTCCCATGCTATTGAGCAGCCACCCATTTTTTTGGAGGACTGTGTAATTTAACTGAGTTAAATAGTAGTTGTGCAGCAGTTTCTGGTAGACCCCTTAAGTGGTGGCCTGATGTAGCTGTCCCAGCCACCAACTTTGATTTGGCATAGTTGAAAGGACTTCAGGATTGTGCCATCAGTGCATCCTTTATGTGCTTGGCCTTCATCCTTCACTTCCTGGTTGATGAAACTAGCTTCCTGAATTGTTCAGACTGGGGAAATATGATTATTCTGAAGCAAAAGAGAAAGTTGTGCCTTGAACTGGGTTCCTGGTTGGTGGAAATGAACTATTTGGACAAACTAAGCTGTAGTTTTATAAAACAGGATTGATTAAGCTATAATTAATAAACCAGCAAGTAAGAAATTGCAGAACATGAGCAGGAAAGGAACAGGAAAGAGAAAGCGGGAGTGCCCAGAGCCTACTTCTTTGACCCAAACTGTGGCTGCAACATTTGAACTGGACCAGTTTAACCAGCAGAGTCCAATGATTTCAGAAAACATTAAGAAACATTACTTTCTTACCAGTCAATTTATCAGGTAGTTTATGCCTACTGAAACCATTTTTATTCTCTTGGGGGGGGGGGAATCATAAATTGTCAAGTTCAGGACCACAAGGTCTGGGCTTCCAAAATCTGGACAACCGCTGGACAGTGGCAAAGAAATACAGAATATTCTAAATATTTTGCTGCCATCTTGTGGCCATCTGAATGTCTGTAACCAAGGTTTGGTAGCCCTAATCATATTTCTGGTCATTTTTTTAAATGACCAACATACTATTCAAGTTAACTGTATTCTTTCCTAATCCAATAGATTAAAAACTGTGAATTTGGTCAATTTCTGTAAATGCTTTACAATAATTTTCTAATATTTTTGCTCATTTTGTAATAGATTCAGAACCTGCGTTTCTGAAAGTTGGAATTTTAATGCATTGCAACAGGAGTGAGTCTTTGGGACAGCTTGACCTTACTCTGACCATTATCAATTATAGTATAGTTTTTGTGGCTTTAGTGCAGCACCTGGCTGCAAGAAAATTGTCTACTCCTGTTTCACGGTAAGAGAACTGAGAATAAGGATTTAGATTACTGTTTCATGATTAGAAAATTGCTTATAAATCAGACAAATCATTGATTTATGTAGCTCAAAATTCTGTATTGACTGGTGACTTGCTCTCTGGCATTTCTAGTGGAAATCCTCTCAGTTCTATGTGGTGATGCAGAGTATGATCTGAATCTTTTGTATGTAAAAATATGCTTTATCAGGTTTTATTCCTCACGATATTTGAGGTAGTCTGCAGGATCATTGTAGTTAAGAGGAGAAAGTATGTAAAGGATCATTTGTGTATTTACCTCTAGAAGCTGATCCTGAAGATGGGAAGATTGTATTCCGGAAACCTCCCAAGCGTTCAGCAGAAGAGAAGTATTCTGGTTTGACAGTTACTTCAAGTAAGAAGATTAAAGAGACAAAGAAGATTTCTCCAAATTTCCAAAATTCAGCTAAGCAAGTGAAAAATAGTAGTTTGCTTTCTTTTGATGCAGAAGAAAGTGATGATTAGGAACAATCTGTAATTGCTACATACAGTTTTACTTAAAGCAAAATTTTAAGAGTATATTATGGAAGCAGAAACAGTGTTTAAGTCCTCTAAATGAGGCCTTTACATTCTGCACTTAGAATTAGTTTCACATTTTTGCGCATTATACTTGAATCTCCCACAATGAGTGCAAGATATTTTTTATTTGGGACTAAGAATGCAAAATGTTGCTTTAGCAAAGCTTCCTGTTCTTTCTTAAAATGCTGAAGAAATGTAATGGGATTATGATTGCACTGACTATATTGATTTCAAAGGAAAGATCCTGACACAATGGAGGCTTTGGTGGAAAAATATTTGGAAGTCCAATATGTTTGTAACCAGGAGTGGATTGTGTGTTGCTACAAAACATGTAGCAGGATTAACAATGTAAAGCTTCATCAAGGAGCTGATCTGAAGTTGCTGTGTGCAACAGCTGTTTTTAGTAAAGCTGATATTTTAATGCTACTACTAAATGACTGTAAAATTATTTTCTGTTTATTTAAAGTTTAGCCCTGTTCTTCAGAAAATAAAAATGGTTTTCTCAGTGTACATCACAAGATTTTTTAACAGCGTTTTTCTTCATATTATAAATGATTATCCTTTAATCTAAAGAATACAGTAGAGCCCTCAAACATATGATTGAGAAAGCCCCAATGAATGGATTATACTGTGTAACTGAGTCTTAAGAAAGGATATCTAATTTCTAAAGCATTCAAGACAGATGCTTATCTATTCTAACCCTCACTTTAAGCTGGAGTGGTAGGTTTGCCTTTCCTGCTGCTTGTAAATATATGGCCTCGTATCATCTTTGATAGTTATGTGCATACACTGCAGTTATGCCATCAAGTTCAACTCTAACCAGCCATTTCCCCCTTCTTCTGGCTAGCAGCAAAAGTGGATCAAGATATCTTTTCCTCTCAGAGAAGATTATGGGGAAGATCAAAGAGATAGTCTTACAGAGGAAGCACAACTTACTTACCAATTTATTCTGCTATTATAAACTTTAAATATTCAACAAGCTTATCTTGAAGAAAATATTCAGAGAGAGATATCCATGATGCCCATCTTCTCAGTATCAGATAAAAGTGGATTTTGTATCTTAGGTCTCAAGGGTACATATTTACATATTCATTATCCTCTTTAACATAAAATGCACAGGATTATTATTAGCGCCTGACTGGCATTTATTTATTTATATTTCACACTTCTAGGCTGCCCAACTCCGATGATTTATAACATATAATATATACCATAATATATAAAACGGTAACCAATCAAAATAAAACCCCAAATACTGGGGAACTTCTTTAGTACATCTCACTTTGCTGGATAGGTTCTCTTCCAACCCAAGAAGATACATTACTGACGATTTGGCATATTTTGGTCTTACCTTGTCAGCACCACCTGCTTTGGGACTTGATAAAACCCTGGCTGAAATAAAGCAAGAGGATTTGGGATCTAGATATCCAAAATGATAGAGCCAAAGTCTCCCATCCCTTTTATAGCATCCCTTGCTCTTCGCTGGTCTATCCCTAGATATTTCTATAACATCTTATATGCTCCACATAGGAGACTATTTACTTTGGCCCAAATTGGGGCACTAATTATTAGGGTAACAACTGGTAGATATATAAGCCCCCTGTATGAAAGCTGAATTTGTTCAGAGGTAGAATCTATCTTGAGTGTGCTATTAAAATGTCTGTCATATACCCAATGGTAGTCAAGTTTAATACTTCCAATTGTTACATTATGTAAATAAAAAGGAATTTATTATTAATTAATTTATTTATTTATTTATTTATTTTGTACACCATCTGATTTCCAACAACTCTGCATGGTTCACAAAGCAAAAAACACAGGAAAAATGACAGTAACCCATAAACAATAAAGAGAAAGGAGCAAAAAGATGGCAGAACTGGGGAACAACAAAAATATACACACAAATGTTCTTCCTGGCAAGATAAGTTTCTAGCCAATGGATGAGGTTAGTCTGTGAGAATCCTTCAATTTGTGGAAGTAGGGCTACTCTAAAATACATTGTCTCCAAGGATCCATGATCTCAGAAATGACTGCTGTATGATTGTGTGAGTTTGTGTCAGGACTGTGTGCAACCCCTGAGCCCCACTTATTTGTGAACTCCAGAGAACCTCTGAATATAATTTTTGAAAAATCTGGCATGGTTTCCTATCATTTTGAAGTGGGAGATGCAGAAAAACTATAGTGTAAATCTCAAATGGGCTTAACATAGTTTTAAATAAATATACATATTCAGTAAAGAAAATGTAATAAATATTAAACTGTGTTTAAATAAATATAGTTTTCTTTTAAAATAAGAAAAGTTCCCAAACCCCCAAAAGAAAACAAATGGAAAACCTCACACTCCTTTTTGTAAGACAAGGTTGTCCACTTTGCATCAATGTTGCTCCTGGTCACCAAAAGGCTGCCCACCTTTCTTTTACATGAACAACTCTTCAGTCTGATTAAACAGAACTTGCAAGTGGTGCTTAGCTCCTGAAATAGTTATGGATTCTCCCATTTCATAGTGTGGACAGGGAGTATGGGGTGGGGGTAGGGGAATAACAGTTTAGACTCAAGATAAAGCTTTATTTTATAGGTGATGATTAATCCTTTTGGAGAAGGGGAAGCAGGTGTGGGGCATCTCTGAAAGGAAGGGAAAGGAAAGAAGTTCTATCAGAAATTATTTTAAACGTCAGTTAGAATAAAGGAGATTGAAGAAGAATACAGGGAATGCTAGCGGACCTCTCTGGTTGGCAGCACTTAGGCTGAACAGGCAACCATATGTTAGAATATTTACATGATGGCAGACTTGGGACTACTGAAAGCTATTAAAAAAAAAACAGTGACACACATTGAAAAAAACTCTGTGCTGCTGTGCAGTGATAATAGTAAATATAGTGGATGCTGATTGCCATAGTATATTGCCCAACTATTTGCCTGCTTAACAAGTGAAGAAATGTACTTTCTGAGAAACTGGATGTGTGCCTGAAATTTTCTGGAGTCTGTTTTCTACACAAAAAAGCTCTGTATGCATTTTTCTGGCAAAGTAGTTCACATTAACTGGAAGGCAATCCCAGCAGCATGTCTATCAAGGTGATGAATAATGCCTAAAAAATCAACAAGAAATAAATGGACCTTGAAAGCAGGGAGCAAAGGGGTGGGAGGAGGAAAGGAACCCCCCCATCAACCCAATTCTGAATAGTCAAAAGCACTTGTTAGGAACACAGTAAGCAATCTGATTTCACATGGCCCCTTTGAGAGGGGTCCTAGAATTCTGGGAACAGAGCCGGCAGCTGTTTTCACCACTGCTAGCCTGTCAACCTTGCAAGGTAGACCTGACAGGAAACACAGCCAGATGAGCTAATTCTACTTTATTAAAAGGTTACATTAACAGAATCTTGCAAGTCTGAAAGTACATCCCCCCCCCCCATCTTTACAGCTCAAGAAACTAGGGAGGGTCCCTTCTGAGCCATTTGCCCCATCCACATTTCTGCTTTGGGCTAAGTTGCCTTTTATCTGACCATTCCCTTGGCTGTATCTCTTTGCCATGTCTTCCAAGGTCATTCCCACATACCATTACATAACCCAATTGCTCAGCCCATGCACTTTCTGTCCTTAACAGGATTGTCCATGGGTCCATGGCATTTCTGTAGTTCCATAGCATTAAATAAAATAGAGCAGGGTCAAGGCCATTGATCCTTGGGGACAAAGCTCTGAGTCAGCATCCTCCTTAACCTTAAACTTCACTGTAGCCTGCCTGGGTCCTTAGAATTAGTTGAAGTGGGTGGTTTTCTGCAGTGTTTCTATTCATGATCCTAGGAGCAATAGTGGTTCAGATCTGCTCTGTCCTGTCCCCTGACTCCTTGAGTCCCTTAGTACAGCAGAGCTAGTTAAGAATCTGCTCCTGTCTGAAGCCACTTTGTAATCAGGATGCAGCCTCTTCTTGCACCCTCTGCAAATTAAATCTGATGCTTCTTTCTTCCACCTTTTCTGTGGCTTACAGACATTTTGCTTTGCATTTTTCAAGCCTACTGAGAGATGACAGTGGATTGTTGATACATTTGGCATTCTTGTCCTGGGAAACGCTAGCTCCCAACCTATCTCCCACGCTTTGAATTCACAGGGATTTTGACAAGGGTGGCTGCTCATACATCACTATCATCACTAATCAACAAAAATAAAATGGCTTTCCCCCCAAGCCTCATATTTGCATACATTTTGCATGCTTTAATTTATTTGGGGATCCATTCTTACAAATTTAAATAGAAACATAATTTATTCCACCATAGAGCAGACTGCGTCCCTGTTCTTCCACATACTTGCTGGCTTCAAGGCTATTACTTTCCTTTATTGGGTTGTTTAGCTTTAAACTGGAGTTGGACTGGACAGCTCTTCAAACAGAGGACAATCCTCTTGAGACCTTCAGGCTGACTATCTTCTGTGAAATAAGATAATTGTCAGCCTATTTCTGACTTATAATCAGAGCTCCTTGAGCTTTACAATCAGCTGGTAATTACACTATTAGACTATCCATAAATATACAAATCAATAAGGCAAGACTTTGAAGAGCTATTCCATACTTCAGAGCAATGAAGTTCGCAGTACATACAACATTTCTGAGCAAACACCATTTATAGTCAAGGTTTAAAGCCTGGTTCATATGTTCAGGTAATAGTCTAATCAATAGGCCAGCAAATACTTTTTGATCCATTCACAGCTCTTCTTACTATCTGCAGACAGTGTAAATACCATTACAGAGAAAACCACAGGTTCTCAAAAATCATTTTATCATGTAATGATTTCAATAAGTAATAAGTGGACACTTTGATCATTCTAGAATGCACAAACTGAAGAAATGATTGCCATCCCTCAAATATTTTTTTGATTTATAGCCAGGAGTGTACTTTGTGCTGTTTAAGCTACTTTATCCTGCAGGAAGTTCAATGAATCAGCTGTCCATGCCACATCTGTACCAGTGTAAATTTTACATCAGCCTTCATTAACCTGATTTTGAGAGAAGTTTTAATATTTTTGAATGTTCATATTCTTTTGAATTACATACAAAATATATGAAAATTGATGGCTGGACAACAGAAATGGATTCTCCGCACCTTTTTCTTGCTGAGAAACTTGTTCTTCGACACTGGAAAGATAAATGAATAGCTCCAATGATTCAATGGAATGAAAACTTGATGTTATTTTCAACTTACAATTGAGTTGTTAACAGATGCAAACTGTGTTTTATAATGAAATATGGCCATCCTTCTCTGGAACTTCTATGTAAAACTCCATGAACATATACACATGCATGAGACCCCTCTCCCCCCCCCTTTTTTTGTTCTGTTTAATTAAACAAAGGGAAAACACCCTTCATTAACTGGATTTGTTCCAGAATTCTTGTACTATATTTTGAATAATTTCCAACAGCAGGGTAGCAAATTGGAGAAGATTTAAAATAGATTTTAAAATTCTATTTTAAAAGAAATACAAGTCTCTCTCTCTCTTCTATATATTAAATTGGCTATAACTCCTGCATGAA